GATGGAGGATGGATGGATGGATGGATGTTTAGAGGGTGAGGGTCTGCCTGCATGGCCACATCCAAGGAGTTCCCAGCAGCTCAGTGCCCAAGACAGAAGCAGTAACAAGTGTTGGCCCTCGAGGTCTGTGCTGGGGCCAGGACAGTGCCACGTGTGACAGTGCCAGAACACCAGAGCCACACGACGACTCAGGCCGCAGTGGAAACGAAGCCATTTCCACTCTGCAGCACCAAAAGGTCGCCCTTGCATCCCTTCTCCTTAAAAAAACCCAACCCAAACCAGAAAACAAACCAACCCAGAACCAAGCAGTGCCCAATCCCCAAGAGAACACCAAACCCACCCTGCAGCAGAACCTGCCCACGGCTCCTCACTCACCTGTCCCTCTCTCTCTCCTTTCCTGAGGAACTCGCTGCCTTCGCCGCGGCCCCCTGGATGTCGCTCTGACTGGAGAAGCCTGTACCTAAATTAGTCATATGAATGGGTCCATGCTATGAGCAGAAAAACACACGGCATTAGCAAATCTACCACTACAACAAAAGCTACAGCTCCTTAATGATACTGTTAGGAAACCCAACCTTGCAGAGCCAACTAGCAGAAGGCATCTCTAAGCACCACTGTTACACAAAATGCTTTCTCTCCTAAAAAATACCTGAGGGCAGCTTTCTCCTGAAATTATCTGAGGGCAGCTTTCTGCTAAAATTATCTGAGGGCAGCTTTCTCCCAAAAATATCTGAGGGCAGCTTTCTCCTGAAATTATCTGAGGGCAGCTTTTTCCTAAAAATATCTGAGGGCAGCTTTCTCCTGAAATTATCTGAGGGCAGCTTTCTCCTAAAAATATCTGAGGGCAGCTTTTTCCTAAAAATATCTGAGGGCAGCTTTTTCCCAAAATTTTCTGAGGGCACCTTTCTCTTAAAAATATCTGAGGGCAGCTTTCTCATAAAATTATCTGAGGGCAGCTTTTTCCTAAAATTTTCTGAGGGCAGCATTCTCTTAAAATTATCTGAGGGCAGCTTTCTCATAAAAATATCTGAGGGCAGCTTTCTCCTAAAATTATCTGAGGGCAGCTTTCTCCTAAAATGATCTGAGGGCAGCTTTCTCCTAAAATGATCTGAGTGGTGGGAAACAGGCCTGAGCAGCACTCTGGAGAACTGCTCAGCAGCTCCTCCAGCTCAGCAGTGCTTCAGGACAATAAAAAGAGCTGCTCCCCTCATGGAGCACCTACCACCTCCTCAATCAGCTAATTCTGACTGCTGAGCTGACCTCACAGCACAGAAATCTGCTTGAGATTCTGAAATTAGCTCTAAAAAGCTTTTATTAAGGGCTCTGCCCGTGGCAGGGGTGTAGCACCAGAGAAACATTTACAGACACTCCCTTTGCTCACATGCAAAAGGCAAGAACTCAAAATTATTTTTCTTAAAATCATCTAACTACTTAAAAATTATTTTTCTTAAAATCATCTAACTAGCTAAAAATTATTTTTCTTAAAAGTCATCTAGCTACCTAAATAAATTAACTTTTAAACTAGGCTTCTTGAAATCCTCTCAAGTGCAACCTGCAAGGTAAATGGGAAAAACTAGAAGTTATTACACTTCCCTCCCTCAAAAAGCCCACCTAAAGACCCCAAAAATTCCAACAAAGCCCCAAATAATTTCTCTTTAGGCCAAGCAGCCCCACGCTTTTGTCACGTCTGTGATGTGGATGCAGCACTCATCTTTGAGGGAAGGAAAGCAGCTGAAATGAGTTAAAAAATCACAATTTTAGAGCAGTGCATCCACTCAGAGACACCAAAAGGTGGGCCCTGAGCTTTGGAACAAGCACTGCCCTCTGCACAAGTGCTCCAAGGAGCCGGGCCAGCAACAGCCCAGCTGTGTGCCTGGGAGGGAAGGAAAATTGCTGATTTTATTGCACCTGGTATCCCAGCAGTCCTGACTCTCTCTCGTCAGGCAGCTCCTCCGTGAAGCGTCTCTTCTGGCCCTGGGGCTGCACCTGGGGCTGGGCTCCAGTGGGCATGCTGGGTTTTACTGGGGCAGCAGGAAGGAAGGGAGCACTCAGAGGACTCTGCCGGGCACAAGTCACAGAGAAAACACAAGAAATTGGTAAATTATTCATTCAATGCATACAACACACAAATGGTTCCTCCAGATTTGAGAGAACTTAGAGGAAAATTCACAGTGGAAGGATTTAATTTAGAGTGCTCCCACCCCCAACCAATCCCCAGCTGTAATTTAAACTCAGGCACCCACACAGGGGCAGCACAGAGTGTGATGTGCTCCTCAGAAATGGAATTGACTCCCCAAGCCCTGAAAATGTCCTAAATGCTGTCAGGAGGACAGGCGTGGTTTATAATATGAATATGGAACAGGATATGAATAACAGGAATTGAATATTAATGGAATATGAAGGACAGAGTATGAAAGATAGAATGGGAAAGATAGAATGGGAAAAACAGAACACGGACAACAGAATATGAAAAATAGAACAGGAAAACTATAATATGAAGGATAGAATGGGAATGATAGAACAGGAAAAACAGAACAGGAAGGATAGAATGGCAAAGATAGAATAGGAAAAATAGAACATGGATAATAGAATATGAAAAATAGAACAGGAAAACTAAAATATGAAGGATAGAATGGGAATGATAGAACAGGAAAAACAGAACAGGAAAAACAGGAACAGGAAAAGTAAGAACAGGAAAAGAACGAGTCAGTGCAAGTGAGGTTGATACTTCCACAGTTGCCTACATTGCTTCTGGCACCTGGCTGAGCTCTGCTTTGATTGTCACCCTGCACTTGACAGGCAATCTGCTCCAGTGTGGACTTGTTTGAACAACTATGGCAGGATAGAATGGGAAAGACAGAATAGGAAAAACAGAACATGGACAACAGAATATGAAAAATAGAACAGGAAAATTAAAATATGAAGGATAGAGTGGGAAAGATAGAACACGAAAAACAGAAACAGGAAAAACAGGAACAGGAAAAGTAAGAACAGGAAAAATAGAACAGGAAAAATAAAATATGAAGGCTAGAATGGGAAAGATAGAACAGGAAAAACACAACAGGAAAAACAGGAACAGGAAAAGTAAGAACAGGAAAAATAGGAACAGGAAAAATAGAACAGGAAAAACAAAATATGAAGGATAGAGTGGGAAAGATAGAACACGAAAAACAGAAACAGGAAAAACAGGAACAGGAAAAGTAAGAAAAGGAAAACTAAGAAAAGGAAAAATCGGAACAGGGAAAATAGAACAGGAAAAACAAAATATGAAGGATAGAGTGGGAAAGATAGAACAGGATAAATAGAACACGAAAAACAGGAAAAGTAAGAACAGGAGAAGTAAGAACAGGAAGGATAGAATGGCAAAGATAGAATAGGAAAAATAAAACATGAAAAATAGAATATGAAGGACAGAATACAAAGGATAGAGTATGAAGGACAGAATGGGAAAGACAGAATGGGAAAAACAGAACATGGAAAATAGAACAGGAAGGACAGAAGATGAAGGACAAAACATGAAACACAGAACATGAGGACAAAATATGAAAGATAGAATATGAAGGACAGAACATGAAGGACAGAACATGAAGGACAGAACATGAAACACAGAACATGAAACACAGAACATGAGGACAAAATATGAAGGACAGAACATGAAGGACAGAACATGAAACACAGAACATGAAGGACAGAACATGAAGGACAGAACATGAAGGACAGAATATGAAGGACAGAACATGAAGGACAGAACATGAAGGACAGAACATGAAGGACAGAATATGAAGGACAGAATATGAAGGACAGAATATGAAGGACAGAACAGGAAGGACAGAACATGATGGACAGAACATGAAGGACAGAATACAAAAACTGCAGCAGGAAGCTGCCAACGCAGCAATTCCCCTGCCCCGAAGGCTCAGCTAAACAACAACAACAAACCCAACCACCCTCCCCCCTCCCAAAAACCCCCAAACAAACCAACCACCCAAGAGCAGCCGCCCCCAGGCCCCGGGCAGTACCTGGGCCGCGCCGGCTGCAGGCTGCACCTGAGCTAGGGGGTACTGCGTGGGCACGGGGGGCACGGCCGCGGGCAGCGCCGGCAGCACCCCGGCAGGCAGGGGCACGGCGGGGGGCACCATCCCCGGCACCCCAAAGGGGGGCGGCACGGGCTGCTGAGGAGGGGCCAGCACGGGGTAGCCGGCCTGGTAGCCGTTGGACGGGTAGTAGGAGGGCTGGGAGGGGACGCTGCTGACGGAGGCCGGCTGCGTGAAACCTGCAGGGAGAGAGAGGAGAGCTCGGGTGTGCTGCAGGAACCGCTGCAGCTGCAGGGGGTAAAAATAAAAATTAAAATAAAATTGAAATAAAAATGAAAAATAAAACCAACAATGAAAACCATCAGCCCTGCTGTGCTTCCCCACCCCACGCTGCTTGCAGGCCCAGGACAGCAGCACCCCAAAGCTCAGCACCCACCCCATGGACACCCCCTGCTCCTGCTGGCCTCGGCACATCTGCAAATTATGGGATAATCTTTAATTGGAAGAGAATGGCAAACTCATTAATTACTTCAATACAGAGAAGAAAAAAACTTCCTAATATTTTTCAAAAGAAATTTTCTAGCCCACACTCCATTATGTTATTATACCTCAATTATCTTATTATTGTAACTCCATTATCTTATTATTGTATCAGCTGATTCTCCAGGATTTGATTTTTATCCATAAAAAGGAAGCTGAGAAATTAAAGATTCTCTGTCTATATAAATAAAATATTTCCTCATTTCTTTGCTACACCAATCACTTGATTTTCCCTGGAGCAGAGGAAGCTGCAGGAAAAATCAGGTTTTTATTTGCACTCAGGAATTCCTCCATCCTCACCCCCAGTTCTGCTCAAGAACCATTTTGCATTTTATTTTTTTCACTGAAATTCCAATATTCTCAGCTCCTTCCTGAGAAATTCTGTACAAAAATTAGCAACCCTTGGGAGGAAAAAAAATTTTTTTTTTTTTTCACTGAAATTCCAATATTCTCAGCTCCTTCCTGAGAAATTCTGTACAAAAATTAGCAACCCTTGGGAGGAAAAAAAATCTGTGAGCACCAACAGCTTTGCTGAAAGCAATAAAATATTTTTATTGTGTAAAAACAATAAAAAATTAATTTTTTAATTAAAAAAATAAATAAAAAATTCCTCAGTGCACATCCCAGAGCTACAAAGGCTGGGAAAATTCAGATTTTTAAGAGTTACTCACTGTTTGCAACAGGTTCTCACAGAGCTTTTTAGCAGCTGCCAAACCTTCTGGCTTTGGGTGACTGAAAAAATACAAAAAAAATTTAAAAATTCGTTAGGACAAAGCTTTCTGCTGAATTTGGGAGATGTTTCTTTGCCCTAACAACGTTATGGTTACACCTTGAATTTTTATGGGATTTTTTTTTAAAAATGGATTTTAAATGGGATTTTTTAAATGGATTTTTATGGGATTTTTTTGAAATGGGATTTTTTAAAGTTTGATTTTTTATGGGATTTTTTTTTAATGCAATTTTGTGGGATTTTTTAAAAATTGGTTTTTTTAAAATGGATTTTTATGGGATTTTTTAACATGGATTTTTATGGGATTTTTTTGAAATGGGATTTTTTAAAATTTGATTTTTTATGGGATTTTTTTAAAATGCAATTTTGTGGGATTTTTTAAAAATTGGTTTTTTTAAAATGGATTTTTATGGGATTTTTTAACATGGATTTTTATGGGATTTTTTTGAAATGGGATTTTTTAAAATTTGATTTTTTATGGGATTTTTTTAAAATGCAATTTTGTGGGATTTTTTAAAAATTGATTTTTTTTAAATGGATGTTTATGGGATTTTTTAAAATTGATTTTTAATGGGTTTTTTAAATGGTTTTTATGAGGATTTTTTAAATGGATTTTTTAAAAATTGATTTTTTTTAAATGGATGTTTATGGGATTTTTTAAAATTGATTTTTAATGGGTTTTTTAAATGGTTTTTATGAGGATTTTTTAAATGGATTTTTTAAAAATGGATTCTTAATGGGATTACTTTAAATGGATTTTTTAAAATGGATTTTTAAAAATGCATGGGATTTTTGTAATGGATTTTTAAATGGGATTTTTTAACATGGATTTTTTTTTAAATTGATTTTTAATGGGATTTTTAAATGGTTTTATGAGATTTTTAAAATGAATTTTTAAATGGGATTTTTTAATATGGATTTTTATGGGATTCTTTGTATTTTTGATTTTTTAATGGGATTTTTAAAAATGGATTTTAATGGGATTTTTTTATTTTAAATTTTTCATGGGATTTTAAAATGGATTTTTTTATGTGATTTTTAAAATTTTTTAATAGGATTATTAAAGGGATTTTTTTATTTTTTCATTTTTTATGGGATTTTAAATGGATTTTTATGGGATTTTTTTTGATTTTTATTGGATTTTTAAATGGATTTTTATGGGATATTTTTTATTTTTGATTTTTTAATGGGATTTTAAATGGGATTTTTATGGGATCTTTATTTTTGATTTTTATGGGATTTTTTAATGGATTTTTACGGGATTTTTTTATTTTTATGGGATTTTAAATAGATTTTTATGGGATCTTTATTTTTGATTTTTATGGGATTTTTAAATAGATTTTTATGGGATTTTTTTTTTTTTTTTTTTTTTTTTTTTAATGGGTTTTTTAAATGGTTTTTTACGGGTTTTTTTTTTTATTTTTGATTTTTAATGGGATTTTTAAATGGATTTTTATGGGATTTTTTTTTTATTTTTATGGGATTTTTAAATGGATTTTTACGGGATTTTTTTTATTTTTATGGGATTTTTAAATGGATTTTTACGGGATTTCTTTTTGATTTTTGATTTTTCCTGGGATTTTTAAATACATTTCCACAGGATTTTTTTTTATTTTTATGGGATTTTTAAATTTTTATGGGATTTTTTTTTTTGATTTTTGATTTCTCCTGGGATTTTAAAATACATTTCCACAGGATTTTTTTTTTTTAATTGATTTTTAACGATTCTTTAAAACTCCCCCACACCTGATGTAGATGTACATGGGTTCAAAGGCTTCCCTGCCTGAGGCTGGCTCGATGCAACCCGAGCCCTTCCCACGAAGAAAGACTTTGGCACCAGTTTCAATCTGGATGTGCTGCAGGTAGGAGCAGGCAGGCCCCTCCACCTTCTCCTTGACACTGAACGTGGGGACAGCGTGCTCCAGCCCCACAAACAGCTTGTCCTGCACATAATGCATCTGCAAAGAAAGAAAAAATTCATTAAAGCAAATTTTACATGAAAATATTACAGTCAAAAATTCAATATTTCACTGACAGAAGGGCTCCAGCCCCACAAACAGCTTGTCCTGCACATAATGCATCTGTATGGAAAGAAAAAATTCATTAAAGCAAATTTTACATGAAAATATTACAGTCAAAAATTCAATATTTCACTGACAGAAGGGCTCCAGCCCCACAAACAGCTTGTCCTGCACATAATGCATCTGTATGGAAAGAAAAAATTCATTAAAGCAAATTTTACATGAAAATATTACAGTCAAAAATTCAATATTTCACTGACAGAAGGGCTCCAGCCCCACAAACAATCTGTCCTGGACATAATGCATCTGTAAATAAATAACAAATAAATGAAAGCAAATTTTAAATAAAAATATTAAAGTAAAAAATTTAATAGTTCACTGACAGAAGGGTTCCAGCCTCACAAACAGCTTGTCCTGCACATAATGCATCTGGAAGGAAATTCATTAAATCAAAATTTAAATAAAAATATTAAAGTAAAAAAATTAATATTTCACTGAGGACAGACAGAAGGGTTCCAGCCCCACAAACAGCTTGTCCTGCACATAATGCATCTGTAAAGAAATTAAATAATTAAAGCAAATTTTAAATGAAAATATTACAGTAAAAAATTCGATATTTCACTGACAGAAGGGCTCCAGCCCCACAAACAGCTTGTCCTGCACATAATGCATCTG